GGCCTCCATATACCACATATCACGTCTATTTAGGGTAGTATTCTCATCCCAAAATGGTAACATCAAATTGTGTTACAGGTCTATATGTAGTTGAGCAAAAGTTTTATTTAATGAATCATACCTGCAAACTCCGCTATGCCCTTCTTCGATATCAAAGTGTTCAAACATAACCACCATTTCAGTAGTTGAGCTCCGAGGAGAAATTATCCAAGTACAGTTGGCATTTGATGGATAGTTGCTTGGATAGTTAGGTGAGGCAAATATCCCACATCTGTCACTTAGAGCAATCTGGCACCCTAAAAAGACATTGAAAATCATCAAAGATTAGGAGTAACTAGTTTTATTCCATGTGTAGGGGAAATCATATGTGCGAGCGTGGATACCAATTGCGGTATCTTCAAGTGTCGAAAAGATCTCTCACTAATGAGAGTGCCAAATATTCTGTTTATAATAAAACTTATATCTAGAATAAAAACGCTAAGAACTTTTTTTTAACAAATAGTATTTAATTAACATCTCCGATTTATAATTCAGTTTAATTTTTGATGAGCATACAGTTTTCTTCTGCTTTTCCGTTTCAAGGAAACGAGAACCTCAAATAGAGCCTCGTATGGCAGTCTGAATGTAAATGCGTAGCTTAATATAATTATGGACATTGCAACGACCCTTGCCTGTTTTGATGAATATTCCTCTGCTTCTCGGACCTTCACCAATTTTTGTAGCGGCCGACACCTCGATTCTGTACAGTGTGACATCTTTCAGATTATTTAGATAAGCCTTCGTTTTATTATCCTTGATGTATTTTTTCTTCCATGAATTCAAACCTGTCCATGCCACTTGATAATAGACATAGTAACCAACAACTACACCATTAGCTAACTCATTATCAACAGGATTCCAACTTACAGCTAGTGTTTTTGATCCCAAGTACCTCGCAATAATGTTTTGAGGCGGGCTGCTTGGCACTATGAAGAGTCAAATAAACTAAGGTCATGAAGGTATTAACATACTCAATTGAATGTGTGCTTTTTCACTTGTGGGTATATTAGAGTGAAAGCACTTGAAAAAAAAAAAAAAAAAAGACAGCCACTTGAAAAAAAAAAAAAGGAAATATATATCACTATTCATACAACGAAATTTTCATCAATCTACTTATTTCTTATTATTTCTAGCCCTTCGGAATAATGAATAAACAGCGAAAAGGATTTGAATAAAACAAAAACCACTGCAGGCTTGCTAGGAATAAATATTTACAGTTCATCTTTAAACTGATGCCACTAGAGTAACTTGCTGCTAAAGTGGAGAGATAAATGTATCTTACCATCTTCAGCAGTCTTTATAACAACTTCTTGACTTTTGGACATCGTGTCATTAACGCCTGTGAGGTTAACCAACGAGGAATTCACAAGTATTGCCACTACCACTACTCTGTATTCAGTGTTTTTCAACATGTTTTGGACAACCGCATTAAAACTTTGTCCATTAGTTGAAGCTGCTGAAACATTTCTGTGAGGATTATTGGCAGTGCAAATCACAACGTATTTGTTAACGCTTTCATTTCCTGGATATTTATCCCAGCTGACGGTGATTGATGTTGAACTGTTCGTGGAAGACGAAATGTTCCAGGGTTTAATTGACGGAACTATTAAAATGCAATGAAATGATTATGAGCTTACTATCATTCATGATATCACGACATTTGCAAAGTGTAATCGACGTGTACAACCGTATATGCACTTTGACTAATCTCGATCTTTATTTGTATGCCTAATAGCATCATGATGGAAACACAATACAAAAAGTTTAATTGCATCAGGTACAAGTTGCAGTGTTTCTGAAATCTGATCTTGTCAAGCTTTCTTGATCAATTGCGTCAAATTTTAATTTAAGTGTATCCAAAAAGTTTTGCTAACTGTTATCTAGTGTGCAAGTCAGAAAACACAGATGCTGAATTAATGAGAAAAAAGTTTTTTTGAAAATACTAAAAAAAAACACTTACTATTTGCAAGTCCATTTTCAAGCATGAAGAAAGATGAGGACATATAAGCCGACCTTCCTGGTCTTGTCAAATAAAGTTTTACCTCAGTATTACCAAATGAGATAAAAGACAAAGAATGCCTAGATCCACACATTCTGCCTTGTGCTGAGTTTCCTTGGCCGTCTTTAATGGTCAAGTAGAAATCACTTAAATAAAATTAAGATTTTTTTTTGAGAATCTACTTTGTAAGAAATCACTCTCAATTAAAAAAGAGCCATTTTTGCTTCATCGTATGACTAGACATGCAAAGACTCTTCACGCATAAAATATATGGTAACTATAATTTCATACAAGAGATATTTTTAAAACTCTTTTAGACATAATTCACAATGGTTCCTTGCCTGCAACCAAAGGATAATGGTAAATATAGTGATTCCAAAACGAATAAGATCAGCGTGTTCTGAGTTGGTGCCACCAATTTCCACATACAGGTTGTATACCATCTGTTAACATACTGAAGATGTATCTTGCCATGTAATTGGTTCTTTATAGTACCACCACAAACTGTAATATAGAAAAATATTAAAACGCATCAACGGCATCCCTAAAGCGATGACAACCATTGAAAAAAATAAAACGGGTATTCGTGATCAAAATTCGGAGAAGACTAAAAGTTGCTAAAATAAAACACAAGGGTAAGAAAATGCCTGATGATTTGAATAAAAACTACTAAAAAGCCACCAAAAAAAAAACATCA